TTTTTTCCTTACAATTAGGAGTATTTTTCACACTGGGTTTTTGCTACCTAACTAGGTTTTGACAAGGCACCCATTCTGGGCTAGTCATATCCCTGTGAGATCTTCTATTTAGATATAGAAGACGTATAGTTTTAACTTAATGCAACTTCTCACTTTTCTCCTTAGTCTCCCACCTTGGGTTTTACCATAGCGAGGCTTTGTGAGTTTTACCATTTATGCATTCTTCCATTCATATGAGACTCTCATTCGCTCATCATCAACTGTACTTACTTCATCGCTGAAGACCTGATGCACCATTTGTTTGAGTATTTACACATTCTAGGGGAGTATTGCAGTCCTATTAGATTAGGAATGTGATTGTGTCAATCCTAGTGTATATAGGGATATCTTGGAATATTCTCCAGGGTTAGATATTATCCTGTTAGAGTTGTAATAGTATTAGGATAAGAATTTAACCTTCCCTACTACTATAAATAAAGGCACAATGGTGTGAGATAACACACACCTCACAATTACACATCTCTCTCCTCTCTCTATGTGCCTCACCCTCTCTCTAGCTTCCATAATTGTTCAATAAATTATGCCTACAACATTAAGCTCTAATATCTCTATTTTATTGTTGCTTTACGATTTTAGGACAACGTACTTGTACTTTCTCGATGAAAGAAAGAAAGGAGGAAGTAGGATTCTCTCCCCTCTTTTTTTCCCTCCCCTTCCTTCCCCTCCTATTTGAACGGTCACGGTTAAGCTACGTCAACATCTTGTATTAATTTTTTATAATAAGAGAAAAACAAAATAAGAGAATGTGAGAGGAGAGGATGGAAGAGGATGGAAAGAGGAGGGGAGAGAATCCTAATCCAGAATGAAGACCTTCAACATGGAACACGGAGATGTGATTAGAGTTCCTGCAGGAGCCACTTTTTACTTAATTAACAATAACAGTGATGAACCACTTCACATCGCAAAGCTCATCCACTCTGTTAGCAGTCCTCGATGATTTGAGGTAACTAGAATCATCACTTCATTTCATCACTATTAGCTTTGTGATTTTTTACTTTTAATACGCAAACCCAATTAAATTTTCACACAGAAACTTGAATTTTGTTTTAGTTTTAATATTTGGGGCTGGTAATCTATATCTTTGCTTTAACTTTATGCATGAATTCTTCCCTTCTGGTTCTGAAAATCCAGAGTTTGAGCGTTTTTCAACAGTGACATTCTTGAATCTAGTTTCAATGTAAGCTACAATTCTTAACTTTTGTTCTTTTCCTTTTACTTGATTTAATTTGTTCGCATAAATTTGATTAAGCTCTAATCTACAACTACTAATTCTTTGTTAAGACCCCAAGAAAAGAGCTAAAGCATGGGTTTAGACAACAAAAGGTTATTAATCTTTCACAACACAATTTTTTATTTCTTTCAAATATAATTTTTCATACAATTTTCAATCCCGCAATAACGAGCAGACACAAATTCCTCCCTACAAACTATACCAACACAACTTTTCAAGCTAAAAATTATATGCAAATGACTTCCGAAAATAAAAACATTATATACAATTATTATGTACAAATTACACAGGCAGCCGAGACATCGATTCTATTGAACTCTCCGCCTTGACATGGAGACAATCCAACGGCATTTTAACAGACATTAACGGCGTCTTCCCAAACACCACATTTCCGTCACCTCCTCTAGGAAAAAACGACGGCGACATCACCCACGGGTCGACCCAACCGGTTTGATTATCCACGCTGCTTTTCCCTTCACCGCGGCCACACCTATAGCCCTTCCTCGAACTCCCGAGGCCGCGGCGCAAAAGGACGTCATAGCTAGTCGAACGCCTCAGCTTACTGTTCCCACTTGAAACCAGCTGCTTCCTCACCCCCTCCGGCAGTCTCAGCGTGTACCTCTCCGTGTTCAATCCGGGTCGGATCAGTGAGTGACCCGTCGAGTGCGATCTCGGAAACTTTCCACATATTCCAGATCTCGTTTGTGGTTTACCATTCTCAACCGCTTGTGGGCCCCCGCTTTGATTTTCATCCACATTGAGCACAACGGCGTCGTTTCGTACCACGCCGACTTCAATCGGACTCCTGGAACTCGAATCTTCGACATTTAAATCGGTGTTTCGCGCGGTAGCGCGCGGATTCGAATCGGCGCACGTGAGGTTGGAGCGGCAAACCGGACACGTCACGTGAGCGGCTAACCAGGGGTCGATGCAATCTGGATGGAAGACGTGATCGCATTTGGGAAGCAAACGCAGCGTTTCGAAGTCGTCGAACTCGCTCAAGCACACGGCGCACTCCAGAGCTCCCTTGCCGATCTTGAGATCCTTGACGGCGGAGTAGACGAGGATCGGGAAAGCTTCGATCACCGCCGGGTCCAGTCCTCGCCGGCTGAAACCTACGGAGGCGGCGTGAGCTCGAGTTCCGGCAGCGCGGGCTATAGTTCCGGAGGCTTCCATGCGTGCGGACTCGACGCAGCGGCGAAAGTAGACGGAGAGGAAGCCCACGGAGAAGAAGGCAAAGACGAGGAAGACACTGACGAGCGCCATTGAAGAGTTCAAACTGGCGACGTAGCCATAGCCGTTGTTCTGAAACTCGGGGCTCTGGGCATTGGCCGGCATGGGATAGGCGAGCAAGAAGAGGAAGTGGAGATTGAAGCTCGTCGTTTTCGTATCTGGCATTTCGGCAAGCAGTTGGTGGGCACAGCAGCTTCTGTGAGTAGCGGTTACTGAAGTTTGTTCATATTATTATTACTTAAGCGGGAGGAAGGAAGGAAGGAAGTAGTATGATCTGACGGTGGAGGAGAGCGAAAGCGATGGGATGCGAGGAAGGGATAAGAAGAAGAAGAAGATTATCTGAAAATTTGGGTAAAAACAATTGAAAAAAATGGAAAACCGATGGGCGCAGATGGATGACATAATGAAAGACAAAAACCGGAACTGAATGAAAGACAAAAACCTCTCCGTCACTGTCCTCCTCATGGCTTTCATCATCCAGTTTTGTATTGGTTTATGTTATCTGGTTTTCGGCTTTACTACAAAGTACAAGAATCCGGCCCACAGCGTTAGTATTTTATATTATTCCCCGGTATTCAAATTCTTACGGTTTGGAATATACAATTTGTTTTTGTTTTTTTATATTTAAATAAAATATTTAACATAAAAAGTACTCAAAATATCCTATATTTTCAAGTACCATACGATGTCTCCTTCAATTTTATTTCCACTTGGTGTGCACAAGTATCCACAGGCCACTAATCACTAATCACTAATCACTAATCACTGATCAGTCCAATTTGGTCCTTTCAGTTTTTCTATATGGCAAGTTTCTATCTTAGAAAGTTTCGAATTAATTCTAGAGCTAACTTCATTGTCAATAGGTTAACCTAAGTGACTTACCTTTAATTTTCTTTTAGGGCATCTCTAATACCAGCCGCAAGTTTCTTTCGAATGAAAACTTTATATTTCTTAATTGGCCGGAGAATTTTTCCAATCATTGGAGATTTTATAAGATAACTCTCTAATGGAAGGGCTCTATAATACTCATCTATCTTGGTTTGAAAATAAAAATTGACATCTTTAAGAGGTGGGTCCAGCTAGTTGAAGAAAAAAAAGGTAAATGAAATCTCTCTCATCTCTTCTGTTATTAGTATATCTCTGTTGACACTAAAAAAAGGAGATTAGTGAATATTGTGTTATCATCTAAGAGATAGGTGCAGTTTGGGATTCTGTCTACGGATTGGTGGTTAGGCATGTGAAGAGAAGTACCCTATAAATAAAAGAGGTTTTGCAACGTAGAGATGACCTTCAACTTAACATACAAATCAGCGCTTTATGCGAAATCTTCTCATACCTTGAGAAATACTAATTGCTCCACTAACACGTCAGCACATATTCAATTTGGTTGAACATCATTGGGTTGACAGCCGACATAAATTCAGTTTGGTTAAACATCACTACAGTTGTAAAATCAGCTTTTGGTTAAACAACACTTACTCATTTTTCAGCTGGTTATCTACCCCAAGTCTCAACCGGTAAAGAGTCTCTAATTCTTTTGCCAAAAGAAGCCACTTCATCAACTCTCCCAACAAAGTGAGGTGTTCTTAATCGGTTATTCATAAGTATCAGAGTTTGACATTTAGACGACCAGACAACTTTCACTATAAAACGCTCATTTCTTTTGAGTATCTTTGTCCCTACATCTTGATATCGATTAAGCGCACCTATATTTTCACCAATATAGTTGAAGTGACCGGACCTGGTATAGAAGATTAAACTTCGATCAAAAGGCATAACCTTGTCTTCAGGTTTTAGAACCCAATGCCAAGAGTGTTCCTCCTCAGCCGAAGACTCTTGGTGTAGAAGTCAATAACACATTTCATCATCACACCACCACATCTATCTTATTCGGTCAATTGAGCTCAGTAGCGAGTTGGTAAGCGGATCAACAATCATCTACATAAGGACGTAGTTAGATACTTTGGGCTATACCGTGTAATTCTTAAGCTCAACCATAAGTGATATATATATATATATATATATATGCATATATAATCTCTATATCAAAGATCTTGGAAAATAGGTTTTAAATCGTAACTATTCTTCCGCTATGAGGAATCGGCATGTAAATGTAGTTTTGGTTTGAAACCAACCAATGCATGTCGATTTCGGTGAGAAAATTTTAAATTCCAATTATATTTTATCTCATTCAACTCCGGTGTATGTGACACTATAGGGCGTGGAGGGTTTCCTTGTGAAAGCTGATAACCAGAAAACCTTTCGGGAAAGAGGCTTTAAAACTAAATATGCAAGTCCTTCGAAATCAAAAGCTCATGTCTATGTTCATGCGCCAAATGGCCATCTGTTTATGTTTACGATATTGTGATTGATCTGCAGTACGAGATTCTACAATCAAATTGATTACATGAAAAATATATTATTGACCTTAAAAGAATGGACCCTGACTAAATAAAGAAAAATTACATCTGGAAAATGGACATTATTTCCTCATCTGCGACGTGATGTGGTGTGTTACCACATCTAAATATATGGAATTAATCAAAGATAATACTAACAACAACAACAACAATACAAACAGACATAAAAACAAGACTTGGAGGAGTTGGAATGAAAACTGAGCAGCAGTTATAGTTTTATGCGACAGCAGGCATGTCCTTGAGCCATGCATCCAGGGGCTTACCAATTGCGAAGACAATAAAGCCAATTTCGCGCAGTTTATCTACATCGATAACATGCCTACCGTCGAAAATGAATGCCGGTTTCTTCATATTCTCATATATCTTGTTGTAATCGAGAGTCTTAAACTCATCCCATTCAGTGAGAATGCAAATACCATGGGCACCCTTTGTTGCCTCATAGGCATCCGAGACCACACACACTTGCTCCAGAGTGCTACTACTGCTCATCGGTTGCAGGTGCATCGGGTGATCCCAGTCGAACTTTCTCATAGTCAAGTCCCTGCGGATCTGGTCCTCGGTTACCTGCGGATCATATATGCTCAGTTCGGCCTTGTCAACCAACAACCCCTTGCACACATCAATTGCTGGGGTCTCCCTTGTATCACCAGTATCTTTCTTGAAGGCAAACCCTAGTATTGCTATCTTCTTTGTCGACACAGTGTTGAACATGGATGCAACTACACGGTTCACAAAACGGCTCTTTTGGTACTCATTGATCTTCACAACCTGTTTCCAGTACTCTGCCACCTCCGGAAGGCCATTGCATTCACAGATGTAAACAAGATTCAGGATGTCCTTCTGGAAGCAGGATCCCCCAAAACCGACACTAGCGTTAAGAAACTTCCGGCCTATCCTAGTGTCCTTACCAACAGCGTGTGAAACCTGTGTAACATTGGCCCCAGTAGCCTCACAAAGCGCAGACATGGAATTAACAGACGATATTCTCTGTGCCAAGAACGCATTGGCAGCAAGCTTGGAGAGCTCTGCGGACCAAAGATTGGTGGTTAGGATACGGTCTTCAGGAACCCACTGAGCATAAACATCCTTCAATGCTTTGATGGCCTTCTGGCCTTCAGCGGTTTCCCTGCCACCAATGAGGACCCGGTCCGGTTTAAAAAGATCTTCGATCGCAGTTCCCTCGGCAAGGAATTCAGGGTTTGAGAGGATCTGGAATTTGATTCCCTTGCCGTTGTGGGTCAAAATTTTTTCTATTGCCTCAGCTGTTTTGACAGGGACGGTCGATTTTTCAACAACAACTTTGCTAGAGTCGGACACATCTGCAATCATACGAGCAGCACTCTCCCAATATGTCAAATCTGCAGCTTTGCCTGCTCCAAGACCCGTAGTTTTGGTCGGGGTGTTGACGGAGACAAACACTATATCGGCTTCCTTGACGTGCTTCTTCACATCAGTGCTGAAGAAGAGGTTCTTGCCGCGGCACTGCTTCACGACATCATCGAGGCCGGGTTCATAAATGGGAAGTTGGTCACTGTTCCAAGCTGCAATCCGTTTATCCCAGATATCAACGACAACAACTTCAACAGATGGGCACTTAAGTGCAATCACTGCCATTGTAGGTCCCCCAACATATCCCGCACCAATGCAACATATCTTCACCATTTTCGTTTCACTCTATAACCAATGCAAGTCTGCAATATTGCAACATTAGTTGTTACTTTATTCCAACAGTATGCCATGGAATGCGTATTTTGTATCATGTACCACAGTAACAGGTGAAATGGCCAAGATTCACGTATGTTGCACTTGCATTACTTAACTTTCTGCTTGATCAAGCGTAGTTACTACTGATAGACATACATTGTGTGGCTGAGATACTGCCACTTGTATTCAGATTAGAGAGTTAGTTAGTCAATTAGGTTGTTAGGAATATTGAGAAGTGTATAAATACTGTTGTATGAGAGTGCTTAGCACTTATAAGAAAATCAATATACTGAAAGTTTCTGTTTTCTACTACTCTCTCTAGAATTTCTCGAATCTCTTCTTTCTCTCACTACATTTTCTGTAGATTAACAACTACGAGAATATTTAATGAAAATGAAAATGAAGCATGGTAACAACCGTTTAACCAAACCTAGTTCGCATATTTAGACAATTTGGACTCGCCCTAATCTCAGGCATGGCAGATCAAGAATTTTAAGCCCCAATAACTTGGTGATACTTCTTGGTTCCGAAAAACACCTGGTTAATAAAGTAGAACAAACAAAAAGAGATGTGGGAAAATGCAGGTAGATGATCTATGAGGTGGATCCGAAAAACACCTATCATAGTGATAAATGGTCTATCAAGGAAGCAACTGCGCTAGAACCGACAAATTGTGAATAGGAAAATCAAATTTGAACCTAATTGCAGAAAACAAAAACAATGAACCAACGGAAGGCAAGCCGAAGTGATCATAGATTTAAAGAGAAATAGCGTTACCAGAGGAGCTTTAAGCTTGAAACTCGATCGTGTGTGTGGCATATAATAACACTAACTAGTACACACCTGCCTGCGATGCTGCTGCGGTTGCTGATTGCTGCAACGAGATGAGACGACCCTATTCTTTCTGATTGCTGCAACGAGATGAGACGACCCTATTCTTTCTGTTATTGTTTTTTCTTTTTCTTTCTTTCTTGTGTTGTAAGTTGTTGATCAAATAAAAGAGTTGATGATAAATGATAATAATAGAGGAGGGCCTTTTTTTTCTGTATCCAATAAAAAATACCGGGCCTTTACTTGCTCTGAACCTCTCACTCTCAAACAAAAGGAAACAGGAGTGGGAGTCGGAGGTGAGAACGTGTTTTTTGGAGAGGCCGTAGTTGTAAATCGCAACGGTTGATGCATGCCGGTTCCGTGCTTTTTGATCCTATTCTCTCGTCGCTCGGCCCTTCCCGGTCCCAAATAGGAGAAATTTTTTATTGTGACTTGAACATGAGTGATACACCACGTGTTTTTATGTAAGTGGTGAGAAATTTTACTTTTTAAGTTATTAACTTTTAAAAACACATATCCTACTATTTATATAGTAACGCGTAATGTACCACTCCGTATGATGGTTACACTGAAAAATCTCTTCCCAAATAGAGAAACAAAAAGTGACCCCTATACCTATATTGCTAGGCTTATATTTATTTATTTTGATAAACGATAGTGTTAGTAGGTTAAATTATTAATTATTAAGGAAAGAGGGGAATCGGTGAGGATTAAACTTATATCAGAGTGTATAAGCATGATTGCTTTCCTCCACTGCAATAAAACGCCATTTATTAGCAACAGATAAAAATCATCAAGCACAGAAATATACTATAAAAAGGAAGAACCTAAGTCTAGATATTTACTCTAATTACATGTGAAAAATCAAAATTCCGCTTGTCCAATTTGTGGATCTCACATGATACATGTGGCACTTGACTTGTCAAACAAAACGGGCTACCAAAAATGACATGTGTCAATATCTGAGATCTCCATCAATTAATTTATGTCACATTCTATAATGGGATAAATCAACCCTAATTGGTCAAAATTCCCCAACTATAGATTGATTTCTCAAATTAAGGATTTTATTTAGGACTCGTTTGTGAAGTGCTTTTAAATAACTGAAAGCGCTTTCAAAGTGAACGTTTTTTGGGTTCCAAAAGAACTTGAAGTGTTTCCTGCAAGAAGCATAAGCTATGTCTTCTTGCAAGTGGCATTTCAAGTGCCTTTTGAGGATTAACTTACATTTTTACTAAGGATTGGTTTCAAAAACATTTTATCTAAAAGAATTTATAGTTATTTAAAAGCACTTCCAAAACGAGCCCTTAATTATGAGCTAAATTAAATCAATCAGCTCGAATTAATTCAAAATATATCAAGTAACCTCAGATAAGATTAAAGGTTATTTAGTGTAGAAGCTGAGGATAAAGGCATGACTAAACACTACTACGTTTAACTATTTGCGCGACGAACAAAAGTTGGTCACGCAAAGTGTATTTTCGTTGCACAATCGTCTGTGTGACAGAAATTTCATCGCACATAATCCATTGCACAAAGATGGTGAAGAAAGGCTTTGCGCGATAAACAATAGCATTGGTCGCAAGAACGCGGCACGACGGTTTTGCCTTCGTTGCACAAAATTTTTAGGAACGAATCCGTTCGTCGCACAAATACCAGGATACAAACGTGGGACGACTAATATTCGTCTCTCGAAACTTTGCGCGACGACAGTTTATTCTTGCACGACGAAACCTTGTTAGTCTCTAGAATTTTGCGAGATGAAGGTATTCATCACGCAAAAAGAAAAATATGTATTTTTTTTAAATTTAATTTTTTGTTCAGTTTTTTCAATTTTGTAATAAAATAATAAAATTAAATTGCAATTAAAAATGTAATGAAGAGAAAAATAATTTATTTAAATAAATGTAAAATGTATGTACAAGGAAAATGTTTAAAAAATAAAGGAGTATAAAACTAAGAAAATAATGTGGCGTAATATATGAGGTCGTCATTTGGAGGTGACCGGAAGGTCTCAAGATTGGAGACGGGCTCAAAGGTCGAAGGGGCAAAGTTCTGGGCATGCTTGGGTTGGAAGGGCTCGGATGTCGATGGGGTATGAACATCCGGGAGACGAATGCTAGACTGACTGAGGGCTTGTACAATCAATGGCATCTGGCTCTTATACGAGGCGAGCTCAATCCTAAAGTCAGCCACCTCTGCTGTCAAAACTGTCACCTCACTCTTTGACTGGGATGATGAAGAGGCTCTAGGTTCCTACCACCGAGCATTCCCCATCCCCCTATAGTATGTCCTCGGCCTTCGCTCGAGAGTCTGATCCAAGGTCTCTGTAAGGATCTGAAACCCCATATCCTATGGGGGGGGATCCACAAACTCGAGTGGAGTCTCGGGAAGAAACTGGGAGGCGGACTCCTGAAAAACCAACTGCCTCTTCTCCATCATCGTCGCCTGTGTAATATAACATGAAATATTAATAATAACATTCAAATAATAACCATGATACTTGAATGAGTAAGATAGTAATTACAATTGAAGAATACTTACATGAAGGGACTCAGCTAACTCATCCCCAAGTCGAACATAAATGTCACTAAAGACATCGATCTCTGGAAATTTTGATCCCCCCTGAATAGAACAAGAGAAGAAAAATGTTAGTACGAAAAAAAATTAATATTATTGACATAGGAAAAATTGAACATGAAAAACTTTATTACTACTTGTCGCCGCACCTCCATCCTATATGAGAAGGGCCTCGAATCGGAATGGTGGAGAGCAGATTTCTTCCCCTGATTGCTCTTGTTGGCTTTCACCTTCTTCTATTATACAAAAAATAAACGTATTAGTTCTAATTTAAATGAAATATTAAAAAATCAATATCTTGGAAATGTTCCCTAAAACCAATCATATGATAATACTTTACGAACATTTCACATGTTAAACTAATCTAGTTTAATATAAACGGCAAAGATTATTGTTTGAAGCCGTCTCATATAAATGTTATATGCTTAAATGATAAGTCCAAGGAATATGCAATTGGGAGAATGTGATCTAAAGAAGTTAGATTCAAGAGACCATTCTCTTTCGTATACATATCCTAAACGTTCATGATTATAGGATTGCCAATTGGGCATTGACAGTCCATTAAGATCAGTACGTGCCATGTCTTCTCTTAAGGAGAATGACTGGTCTTGAGTCATTGGTGTGATTAACACCAAGACAAGCATGCAGGTGCTCAATAGAGAATGAGTCCACTAAACACGATCAACGAAGAGTTCTCATACTCATGTCACATGAGAACTCATAGTTAGGATAATGCAAAGTAGTCATTTGACCTGAGGCATCATAGTTGTCTTGTGGTTAGGTCCTTGATCTTTTACTATGTCAAAGCCACTCCCTCGGAGGGCGTCGACGACATAGTCGGGGTTAAGCCATTTAGCCATGGAGGCAAGTGAATGCGCAACAACGGATTTCTAACCTTCAAACCGTTTAAAGGAGAATACTCTATGATACGATTAAGAATCTTTGGCCAGAGTATGAATGAGATTTAGGAAATCGTTCCAAATCACATTTAAGGTAATCATATAAGTTAGAAGAATCACATTAGACATGAATAAACTATCAAACCAAACAGTGTGGTCAAGACCATTGTATTAAAGAAAGACCGTATTGCATTGTAATCATAAACTGAATAAGTTATCCACCTTTTCTGATTAGCTTGGGTAGCCATGACATACTGCTAGGTGTCACTCATGGTTTGTGGAAGCCTTAAATATGTATAATCACTAAAGGGAGAATTGAAAGTATGTTTCAATTCACAATCGATTTGAAGAGTTCTAATCGCCCACTTCCTCGCTAAAAGGAACCTAATGGATCATACACCGTGTAAGGTAGAGATTGAAGAAACAACGGAGATAAGTAATGATAATTAAATGGTTTCATTATTTATGGCTATGATTAATTAATATGTTAATTAATCAAATGAATAGGTTCGTTATAGACCTCGGGTTAGTTTTGGGCAAGGCCCAATGGGATTTGAATGTCAAGCCCATTAACTCAAGTTGTATGACAACTTGAATACGTAAAGAGCTTGAAAGGCCAATAAACCCTTAAGCCCGGCCACATTAGAGAATGAAGGGTTTTGGTTCTTTGTCACTTAAGTGAAGGGACTATATAAAGAACTTTATAGCCAAAATTCATTTAGGGTTTCGTTTGGAC